CTCCCGCCCCACCGGGACCGGCCCCCGCTGGAACGAGCGGGTTCCCGTTTCCCGAACCGGCGGGATCGCGCCGTAGCAGCCGGTCCCTGCGGGGGTCCCGGGGTGCGGGGGGCCGAGGCGATGCCCGTTCGCGGCACTACCGGGCGGCGGCGCGGCGAGCGTCCCCCGCCTTCGGCAGCGGCGGAGCGCGGTCCGTCCGGGGGCCGGGGCGGGCTGCACCGGGGCTCGGGGATGCAGAGGGGAAGTCCGGGGCCGTGGGGGTGTCGGGAAGCCCGGGTACACCGTGCCGGTTTCTCCGGTGTTTACCGTCGGGCAGAGCAGAGTCGAGCCACCCGCAGCCCCCGGGAGAGCCGGGAGGCGCGGGGGTCACGGGCCGGTTCGCCGGTGTTTCGGGGAGCCCAGCTCCGCTCGGGAGGGCACCCCGGGGACGCGCGGGACCCCCCGGGGCGAGGGTCCCCTCTGCCCGCTCCCGCCAGCTCCCTCCCCCGCCTGCAGCGCGTCCCCGGGGTCCCCGGGTGGGGACGGTCGCGGTCCCCCGTGGGGCGGCTCTCCCCGTGGGGGCTGTTATCTGGGGCGCTGGGGTCCCGGTATCCGCTGCCGGCGGGGCCGGGCGGGGCTATCGGGGCCGGCAGGCCCCTTCCCCCTCCAGCAGCAGGGCCCGGCCTCCCTATCTCATTAGCTCGAGATTAATGAGGCTCCTGCGCTGTCTTTAACTCCTTCCTGCTCGCCCGCCCCGCTGACCCTTCTCTCCTCTTCCCCCGGCAGGTTCGCGCCGAGGCCTGCGGGCACCCGAGGAGTAGGGACGCCCGGTCCCGAGCCGGGGGGACACCACCGTCACCGCGAGGCTGCTGCTGCCCCCCACAAGTGCCCGGTCGGCGAGGAGGGGGCGATGCCCGGGGCTGCTGCCTGCTGAGCCGGCCGAGGTCTCGCTTGCCAAGGGCCGCAGCAGCCCGGTCCCGAGGAGCCACCCCGTGCCCACCGCTCCCACCGCAGCCCCCAAGCAAAGGAGCCATCGGGGCAAGGCTGAAGGGGTCGGGGGGCACGTCCTTCTGCCCTGACACCCCGACAGCGCCGCGGACCCTCCCCGGCTCTCGCCCCCCTGGGCCCCGGCAGCCCCCTGGCAGGGCTGCTCCCCCACGGTGCTCCCCAGCCTTGCCCCCCAGCCCCACTGGAGCGCGGCAGCCTGCCGGGCG